TAGGAAGCTATATTTGCAATTAAAGGTTTTAAGCCATTTGGATGGTACTTAACATTGGTACAGTTTTTTAATTATTCAATATTTGGATTAATAGAGAGTCAATTCAATCGTAGACAACGAAGGTAATTAGATAAAAATAAATATTACTTAACCAAATTTGAAGAACTCAAATTTCTTCCTATTAATGTAAATTTAATATGTAGTGAATAATTTTTTTTAATAGAGAATGAAAAATGTTTGTAGTTTATAATCCACACCGCATTTTTTTTTTAGAAAATCAGTTTTTTCCCACTTTGATATAATAGTGATTAAATCATTATACATTGTATTTATTCAATGTCAGTCATATGATTTATTAAGATAATATTAAATAATGAAAGGTATTAACATTTAGACCCAATTAAATTATAATTAAACTTTAAAGGGTTATGAAAAATATACATTGTAATCAGTAAGCATGTATATTAGAATGACTTTAATAAACAAATATTTTTTCATTTTTGAAAACCAAAATTATCAGAAATTTAGGAATATGTTATATGTATATTCATAATTTATTATTTTTTTTATTAATAATAAAAAAACAATATTTATAATATTTGAAATCTATTAATTATTATTTTTTATTTTACGATAATTGTTTTCAGGATACCATTGGTCTTGTATCTTTTACTGGGACTGATATTATTAGGTTCAATGGGGTTTTCAAATGCCTCACTTGGTTACTTAAATTACCCAACACAAGTTATATTTAAGTGTTGCAAACTGATACCAGTTATGATTGGTGGAATATTAGTACAGCAAAAAGTATATAAAGTTATTGATATAGTAGCAGCATCATGCATGTGTGCAGGATTGATATTATTTACTTTAGCTGACAATAAAGTTTCGCCAGATTTCAATATTATAGGTGAATTGTATTCTTATTTCATACTTATATTTTATACTAGGTACCTTGTTAATATTAATTTAACAAATTATATTGTTTCATATTCTTTTCTCTTTTTAGGTATAATTTTGATAAGTTCTGCGTTATTTTGTGATGCACTTATTGGTAATTTCCAAGAAAAAATGATGAAAAAACATAATGCATCTAATGCAGAAATTGTTTTATATTCCTACTTTATTGGATTCATATATTTGTTATTTGTATTGTTAGTGAGTGGA